ATCATTTTATTTTCAAATCCCGTATTATACGGGATGGGTGGCAACCCCATTCACTTATTTGAAGAGCCGCAAAATCAGGTGGCCACCTTCTTCCGCAAGTACAAAATCCAGCCCGTTAGCATTCTTCTTCTTTGGCAATTTCGGATGGCTCTGCCTGATGCACTGATAACGATACAGCGCCACTACATTGCCGTAATGACGTACAACCGCAATTGCAGTTACAAACGTCAAATCCACCCAGTACTGACAAAACAAGTACTAGGATTTTGTCGTAAGGCGGAAGCGGACCGAAATTTGACGGAGGCGGCCACCTCCCAATTCTCTATGCAGGAAAAATCCTGAGTTAATGTGGCATGATGCTCTGCTGGGTTTTCTGGTTTTATTGATGGTTTTTCATCTCCATAATAGTAGACAACCACATTTGTTAAACCTTTATTTATTCAGGGTAATTTCAACGAGATGCAACCTCTCGTTTACAAGAACGCCCTGAGTTAAATTTTACTGCTTGAAAACTGAAAGTTGTAATTTTCTGCTTCTGTCTTACAGGCATAGTGGCCACACTACAAACTGCTCATCTTCAGAGATGACATGCATTAATGTTTGACTTGTTCCTATAGGAATCCAGGTAACAATAACAACTTACTAAATGTATTTTTTTTTACCATTTTTTATTACCTCAGTATTAAGGTTTAATTAGCCATAGCAGTGAGTGTCATGTTTTATATGTTGTGACTTGCCTGTGTTGTGTTTTGGGACTTATTTGACACTATTTCCATTCCTTCACTTTTAATTTTTTTTCAGCAGTTATTATATGATTACTGTTATAAGCTAAAATTATTGCTAAATGGATTAAAGTCAAACTGAGAGAATGCGTCTCCCTCAATTACCATGATGTGGTCAGAGAGAAAAGATCTCACTGTTGGGCTTAGTGGAACAACAGAAACACTCAGTCCACTCAAGCTTGTATGGCGGTGTTAATAGAGTGGAGCATCTTCCCTCACAAACTGTCTAGCTAAAAACAAGAAGCTGTTGTACCAGATAGCATTAGATTGTGTTGATAAAGTGTCCATGTACATGTCTACACTGTCTTGAGCAGAGGTCTAATCAAAGATGAAACACCTGCGTGTTCTGCTCTGTAGGATACTGTCAGCCATGCTGGTGTTTTTTTTGGTCTCAGCCATTCTTTTGATGAGCTCATGGACATCTGGTGAAGTAGCAGCAGCTGAGCAAGTTTCCAGCCAAGCTGGCCGTCAGAGGTGAAGGTGAGAGAGACAGCAAGACGCTGTCAATGTAATGTCATGGGAAGCTTGAAGTGTACCCTTCTAGCATGAGAAAGTAAAGGCAAATGCATATGTTGTGTAAGAAATGAATGTGCATGCAAGCAGGGTTGAGTGATTCGGAATATTCTGGCTGGTGAGATTTGCCTCTTCTAACCACTCTGATAGAGTGTTGAGTGAACAGGCAGCATACATGCTAAGCAATATGTGTCTGACACTGAAAACACTGGTATGCAGACAAGAGTGATTCTGATTTGACCAAATGTCTCTCAGTAAGACCGTTATCTTTATTTAGGCTTTTTTGGTGAGCTATAGATAACAGCATTTCTTCTGAGTGTGAGGGTCATTAGTAGTGTGACTTTTGTCTGTTTTTATGATAAATGGTAATTTGTTTATCATATATGTCTGACAACATATTAACAACAGCTGTATAATGTACAACAATACAACACATAATAAAAATGAATTTAAAAGTTTAGCATTGCATGTGACCTTAGCTCTAATTGGTGCACACATCTGTAGTTTTCCCTCCCTCTCTTGTATCAGTCATAACCAGAGTTACTTGTTTGTTTAGGCCACATGTAATTAAAATGGTACTCCACAGATTAAGCATTGCTCACCTGTAGCATTGTCCACACAGTCTTCTTCCTTCCACCACCATCGCCCTAGATTACCTACAGTGCAACTCAACTATTTCTACATTTATCACAAGAACAGGCAAAAACAAAGAAAACAATGCCACACTGTGTATAGTTTGTTTGCTCTATAAAATAATAATTTAATATCAAGAAATCTTTACACAAAACTTAAAAAAAGATGTTCTCCAAATAAATGAAATAATAGTCTCTAATCTACCCTCCAAACTTCAATGTAGACCTATGTTCAGTTGCAACAATTGGGCAAAGTGCGTTCTGTGTACTGAGATGAACGGCGCATTATGCTTCTATTGGTATGGTATGTGCATATTAATTAAGGGGTAATCTGCCAAAAATATACCAACAGTAATATGATGTTTATTTGGCAAAGACTGCATGATTGATCCATTACAATTGTAAGCCTCATCAGACTGTAACTGTCAGTGGCCTAACTTAAACTAAAGTGCCCGACCATACAGTAATTTTTTCTCTTTCTGGGCTGTTTGTCACTTAGCAATATTTTAATAATATTTAAGGTAAATAGCTAGGTAAGAAGCTCTTCCTGTTCACTAAGCTCTGAGCTTAGTCTTTGTTACGGCAAATAAACTACTATGTATCATTATTACTAGAGGAGGCAGAGGAATAATTTAAGACACACCGGCTTTTAATTTGAAATGCTTACAGGAAGTGTATAATGCAGTAACTTTAACATGGCAAACGGGAGCGACTGAAAACAAGGCTTCCTACTAAAATACAGCTCTGAACCAATTCTACATATCATATAGAGAGAGTTGGACATAAAAACCTGCCTCCAATAAAAGTGTGCTAAGTTCTGGAGTTGAAGTAAATAAAGACTAAACTATTGTGGATCCCAGACAGAGGCTGTACTCCATGTAAGAGACAGAAAAAGAAAGATATTCTGTCTATTGCTTTCTCTCTGAGTGACCCTTCTATTTTATTTAAGTCTATATAGCTGAAATCACAGCTTAGTCTTTGTCTTTAATTTATCTGTTTGGTGATTTTCTCAGATGACGTCGCAGTTTTGAAATCAGGATGTGACCATAATGCCATATTTTGACCGTGTCTTGTTAAGCGTAATGGAGGGCTATTGTCTGAGTTAGGCTGTCTGTATTGAGATGTTTTAATAGTAGTTTAATATCATAACAGTGACAAACGATACCATGGCTTTGGGCAAACACTATCATGACCTAGTTGTCACCAATGAAGGCAGGTCAGCGAGAAGGGAGGGGCAGGGGCTTGCACATCTCGCAGAGATAGAACTCACAAAAAGGGCATTTACCTAGGCAGAGGCCAAAGGGGAGGTGCTTGAGCACCACCTGAGGTCTATCTGTGCAAGTACCTGGTAACCTGTAGCCTGTAGCCTGCAGTGGAGATAAGGAGCAGGTTACAGAGGTCTGGTAAGCTTTCTTACTCCACACCTGCAGAATTTTTTTGGCTGGACCGCAACAGTGGGGCCAGACCTATAAATGCGAATGTCACTGACTAAATTGCACCATTGGTGCAAAACCAGTACTTTTGCTAGCTTAGCGCCTTTGTTGCTAGATTTGCCAACCTCTCAGACCCGTCAGGTACTACTACTCAAAAAAGCAAATGGCGACAAATCAAAGTGTCTCTAACCCACTCCTCCAATCTTGTTTCATTGATTGGACTCCAGTTAGCTTTTGTTGATGCGATTCGCCAAGAGGTTCACATACTTTTGGATACTGTATATGCAAATATAGGAGGAGCCATAAAACCCGACAACCATCATCATAAAATACAGATTCTTCAACACTGGTTTGAATAATCAAATCTAGAGCAATAATACTTTACTAATGTGTTACAGTAATCTCATAACTTATACACGTAATGTGTGATGTAGTCGATTAATCAGTTAGTTGATTGAAAGATAAATAACTTTTGATAATCCTTTCAGTTTATATAGAAAAGTGCCAAATATTTTTTCTCATTTGCACTCTTTTTGGCTACATATGTCAGGGATTTTAAGATGTCAATTTAGGCTCTGGGAAAATAAAATATGCATTTTTCACAATTTCTTGTCACTCTTGATTTTTAAATTGAGAAGATTATCAGTAGCTTTATCTGTTTGTGGTAGATGACTTTGGCTTGGTTTTAAACACTTCTGCACTCTCCCACTGCTTGGCCTTGTGCCTGGGGCCGAGAGGTTGTATTTTCAGAGTTAGCCGCTCGATGCTAACTCTGCTTCATGGCTTCTGTTGTTTGCTCTTCTTCTGCTGCTAGAGCTAACTTAAACTTGTTCACTTTAGTCAGGCTCTTGTGTTTCTGGCATGGAGAAACTGGTTCAGTGCAGCAGTCTGCTCCGAACAAGCCACACAGGGTCAGAGGTCAGATTTGCAGCTCATGGTGCAGTGAAGAGAAGGAGACAAAGGAGCGCTGGGATTTTGCTGACCTAGTGACAGCATGTGTCAAAAGCCACACAGTAGCCAATTGGCTGGTTGTTGGGTCCAATGGGCAGACTTCAGGCATAGGTGTGAGACAATCTGGGAAGTTGAGTTCAGTTTAAATTGCACAATGAACAAATTCCACTATGGAGTCCCAGCAGGCGTTACAGAAATTTAAGCCACGCAGGTTGTCACATCTTTCACACCATGAGCAATTTCCTTAGTAGATTATGGCCTAAACAATTGTCACACTCATTTAATATATAGCATTTAATGTGGAAAATGGAATGTCAGCTGTTTCCCCCTGAATATTTCATGACATGAAAGTGCATTTATTTCTTCTGATCTTAGTAGAGATAGTGTTTATTTAAAAGGTGGCCCACCTCCACTATAAAATACTGCAGGAAACTGTGGCATATGCTGTATTTGCCCTCAATTTGCGTCTAATATTTGAAACTTTAATTTTGTTTGAGTGGGGAGTTGAAATCATGTTCAACCTGATCAGCAATTGCTCTGTGCCTATTTGGAACAATGTACCATTGGATAGCTGCATTGCAATTCATACATGATATTGTTTTATTTTTCTGTTCTAAAGCAATGTTAAAGGTATTTAGTATAAGAGGGATTCTTATGTCTATTAAAATATTTGATTTCTTCCCTTACAGATATCTGCAAATCTACAACTATGGAAGAAGACCTCATTATACCTCATGATTCTGCCAAAAACTGCAGCATATCAGTAATAGAGGATGAAAAAGAAAAGGTAAAAGACTTTGTGTATAAGCATTTCAGAGAAGTGACAGATGGGTCACTCTTCAATAATGCAGAAGAATCATCAATTAAGGAACATGGGAGTTCCACCAAGAAAGAGAAACAAACTCTCAACAAAACCCACTGTAAAATTCAGCAAGGGGCTGTTTTCTCTGGAAAGATTCTGAGTTTCGGATGCTCAGTGTGTAAAGATGATTCCACATATAGCCCCAATGATCTCCTTAAACATTTTCAAGCGGCTCATAAAGGAACCCTTCCTACATACCCTTGTGACCTGTGTGGTTTTGTCACAAACGAGTTTCCTGCTCTTCAGCGCCATCGGATTGAGCACAGAAATACTCTGGTTACATGTGAGCTCTGCAATGATGATGTTCAGTATTCTCTGCTTTTGCTTACCAGACACTACATCATGTGTCACAGTCTAAATGGACAGTTTAACTGTGACTGGTGTGAGTTTACTACTGTGGATGCAGGAACATTCGTCCAGCACATCCATCATCATAATGAGAGTCCTTGGAAATGTTCAAAATGCAGACATATCAGCTTGAACGAAGAGGATCATCAGAGGCACGTGAAAGCTCACTCAGGTACATTCCCCTTCACTTGTCAGATCTGTGGATATGGTGCGGCAAGAAGTGAGTACCTGAAAAAACACGCTGCAGCTGTTCACAAACAGGAGGCTGAGAGAAGGAATGCATGGAAGGCTATCGAGGACAGTGGCACGCCAGCAAATTCATCTGCAACCTTAAAACTTTTGCTGAAAAAGAGTGGTGAATCACAAGAGACTCAGAGGATATCAAAACTGAACTGTCTTTCTGGGAGTTTAACAAACCAAAATGGCAGGATAATCAAACCAGAGTTGTCCTTAGAGGAGACTCACCACTTTGCGGATGGGACAGCAGCAAAAAAGGACAACAACAATTGGAGTAAAGGCTCTCATAACACAGAGCAGACAACACCAGTAATGTTACAGGAATGTGACAACTCTACAAACTCTGATGCTGCAAGTCACACAAATCCTAATGGACTGACTGTTCTGATGGTTAAGAACAAAATTTCTCTTCCCCCCAATTGTACAACCAAAGTGATGGGGTTCAAAATGGTTGATGGGAAAAAGCATTTAGTTCTGAAAGTAATCCCAACAGCAAAACAAGATTCATCCATTCAGAACCATTCCTCAGTTGAAGATGTGGGCTTCTTGGCACCAAACCCTGTTTTGGATAAAAGTAAAGACTCTGTTGAAAATGGGGAATGCTTTGATAGCAAGAGCTCCACGTCACATTGCTTTGCTGTTTCACCCAGAGGTGGATCATGCATACAGATGGATCAAGATGATATTCTGGCAGTAAAGGTAAAGATTGAAGAGGAAGAAACCTCTGTTTGCAACCTTGATCCCACCCACGTCAGAGATGATGTTGGGGAACAAACTAATTATTTAGTAAGTTTGTCTTCAACTTGTGCAGAAACATTATATCCCATGACAAATGAGTCTGATCATGTGGGTGACCAAAGTCACTCAAGTCAAACAACCTGCTCAGAGAGAAATACATTTGGTAATAGCTCAGTCTCTGCAACGTCAAATTCTGATGCAACCAGCCATAGTGGTTCTAAAATCAGTAATACTTTAACAATGTGTGCTGGTAAGGTCACTGGTTTATCTTCAGCTTTAGAAGTTGCTAGAGAAACATTGCTTTCTGAATCAGTCTCAAGAAAAACTGCTGAGAACTGTGGGGCTGCAAATGAGTTATCATTTACTGACACAGTGGCAGATCAACTCACTGATGAACATGAAAGGAACTCTTCTAACTGTGATGACCAATCTTCTCAGAGTACTCCAGAAAAGACTAATAGGGTCAGAACTGAGATTAAATGTGAAAATGGTCAGCAAAATTTTAAAAAGCTTTCAACAAATTGGGTACCACTATCAGAGTCATCCCCACCCACTTCAGGTAGTCACAGAGATAGTGACACGGGCCCCGAAAACTGCACTCAAAAGTCACTCAACCAAGAAGTATTTAACTTTCACAACTATTCCAAGGAAACATTTGGTACTTTACCTAACACTACCCAAAGCTTTGACAATATGTCTGAACACTTGGCTGACAAAGAAAGTATTTGCGAATCATCACAGTTTAGCTTGACATTGGCAGAGTCTCCAGAACCGCTCATGGAAAGTGGAAATGGAGAAGAAGCTCAAGAAAAAAATCGAGAGGGCATGAGGAAGGTGTCAGATAGTGACATTGAGGTTCATGAGTGCATAGCTAGAATTGACGATCCTCCCACAGAAGATGAAAATCCTGAGTCGGTGCTCCAAGACTTTAATATAATTAAAATTGAAGAGGATAGTATTCCTATATCAAAAAAACAGTCAGAAACAAAGAATAGTTCTAGTTCCTTTGGCAGTTTTGTGGAAGAACATTCAGATGCAATCATTACCCAACAACTTAATAAGGAAAGAATAACGTCTTCAAGTGCAAACAGTGATTCCTTGAAACAAACAAAAACGACTCTACGAATTCTTCAATTGCCAGAGGGTAAACAGCAGGTACTCCTGAGGACTACTGAGAATCGATTTGCCATGCCAATGCAGGTCAAGACAACTCCAGGTTTCAAACTGATAACCAATTCTGCAAATCCTCAAATCAACGTATCTTACATGAAGCCAGGTGTAGAAAGATCAAGTAACCAAACTGGTGTAACTTTTACTCCAAACAGCAGGAGGCTAGGTGTATCAACACCAAAGACAGGAGCTGCTGAAAAAGGGACATCTCTTCTCTCTGCTGTTCAACCAGGTCTTGGCACCACCTCAAATCACTACCTTATCAACAGCCCAGGTTTTAAGGGTCCTGTACTCCTTTCAAGCACACCACATAATACACCTACAGACAGATCATCAAAGACACAGCCTACTTGCTACTTGGTACAGAGGTCTGTTCCATTCGCTCACACCCCCAGTACTCCTGGTCTGAGACTGGCAAGTACACAACTCCCACTGAACTCACGGCCAGTTCTGGCCATGCCATTGAGCTCTGCAGACAAACCAAGCACTGTGCAGCCTGGTCGTCAAGCATTCTTGCTTCGGTACATTTCTCCACCCAAATCAGGCCTACTTCTGAACAACCAAGAGGCAAAGACTGGGGCTCAGTGTAGCCAAACCAGTGAAAGTACTGGAAACAAAGTCATATTTAAAATTGTCACCCCTACCGGTAGCCTTCTTACCAGTGGTGGTCAAACCTCAAGCAGTCAACCTTTGTTTTTGGCCACCAGACCTCAGACCCAGTGTTTTCTGGTGTCATCAAACAAAAGTAGTACAAATGCCTCCAATGGAGTCAAGAAATTGATTACCATACAAAATACTGCACAGAAAGATGTCAAGGAGTCTTGCATTTCACCCTCTCAGATGAATGTAAAGGTACAACAATGTGAAGCAGAGAAACCTATTCTTGCCCCAAGGCCAATTCGGCCTCCAAGCCAAAGGAAAAGGCGCAGGAAACCATTATTTGATGAACTTCCAGCACCGGTGCATAAAGCTAGAAGACTCACAAATAAAGTACTGACTGAGAAAGAGACTGCTGTCTTATGGAAGCCTGTTGCCAAAGAAGTTGAAAGAACGCTGAGACTTGCCCCATTCAACTCTGTACAGCAGATCAAATGTCCTCGTAGATACCAACCTGTTGTGGTGCTCAACCATCCAGATGCTGACATTCCTGAAGTGGCCAATATCATGAAGGTAGTTAACAGGTACAAAGGTGCTGTTACTAAGGTCTCTTTGTCTCAGAAAACGATCCAAGCCCTCTCTGAGCTTGGTGCTCCAGGGAAGAATTACTCAACCAAAAGTGTGTCTTCTCACATTGATGATCCAAGACCTCGGCCAGTTCAGAGTTCTGTCCGAGAGCGATTCCTTTTGAAACTAAAGTTAAGGAAAAAAAGCAAAAAAAAGTATGAGGTAGTGGAAACTTTATCAGGTTGTAGACAAGAATCTGTGGTGTTTGACTGCTGGTTTTGTGGTCGACTCTTCAACAGCCAAGAAGACTGGATTGGACATGGCCAGCGGCACCTCATGGAGGCAACTAGAGACTGGAATAAACTGTTCTGAAGGTTTTCCATCACCTTTTAAATGGCTTGATATTCTTTCCTTTTAGGTGGAACAAATGGTTGAAGTTGTATATTTTTTAATGATCTTCCTTAATATGTTTGTTCAATTTCTGTTCATGTAAATACATATTCTTAGGTAAATCATAGTTTATCTTTTCATAGGTGTATATTCTGGTAATGTACTGCTAGCATGATTTCCATCATGCATGCACAGGTCAAACTGAACTGTGAAAATGGTACACTGTAATTAGGAGTCGTGGTAAGAGCACTGGCTTAAAGAAAGGGGACAATATCAGCAAAGGGTGTATGCAGAGTTGGATAAAATTACTCAGGTGATTTCATATTAACTTGGTTTCTCATTTTTGCGCATAAATTAAAAAAAAAAAAAAGCATAGGCTTAGTTTAAGGGACTTTTGTATATTTTATTATCCTGCACAAGGACAGGAAACTCTGTTTGTATAGTTTAACTCTAAAGCTTGTAGACAAATTCAATTGTTTTGCGCTCTGGACGAAAAACTTTTCTGGTCCAACATATTCTTTTTATGTATGATTTTTTTTTTTTTTTTTTTTATTTAACAGAATTTCATTTTACACTATACTATTGTCAGGAGTAGTTTACAGTTTTCTTGTCAGGATTTTTGTCAACCAGTAGCATGCATTTGTCATATCTTGAGTTGAGAGTTGAGATTTTTCATGGTAATCTCTTTAGTCTGCCAAGTGTTGCAAATAGACCAATGGTCTTATAACATACTGTATCTGTTAAACAGGGATGCTTCATGGCTCACTGCCAGTACTTGAGAAATACAGATCAACCCCATAATACACTCTATGCAGTTTGATTCAGAATTACTTTTGTTGCCAAAAGCTCAGGCTGCATGCTTGTGCACATGTTTTGAGTCAAATCTTAAAGGTCCCACGAATTTGCTTTCACATTGTACATTTATTTTGTGGATTGCAATGTTTTATGTTTTATGAACATGCTGGTGCGAGATGTTAAATTCAAGAGAGACTTGATATTAAAATCTATGTCAGAGACTGTATAAAAAAATCAGGGCCTGAAAATAAGATTTTGGCATCTACTTCCAAAACCTTTGTATGCCACAGTTGGCACAGTTGCACTATTTTAATCCATTTATTATTAGAATGGTACAAGTTATCAGTAATTATACCCCAATTTTAATGAATAAGTGATTATTAATTGATTAGTGATGATTAATTCTCAAATTAAAGTAGGTATTAAAATAATGGCCAAGTGTAACAAATTTCCAGGTGCTTTTACGTTGCCTTTTGTTTTTCATGGTTAAACTGTTGTCAATGAAACACAACAGAACAGATATTTAACACTAAAAGCCTGTCAAGAAATTAATAAAATCCCCTTTCAGCTGGTGGAAAGCTGTTAATGTGAAGCATCTGTACAAGAAGAATATCTTTTCATTGACAGTAGCTTCACAGTGATTTAAAAAAAAAAAAAAGACGTGTCAACAGCAAATTAGGAACAGTAATCGTAAGACTTTTCACCAAAATATGATGAATTATTTATATTAAACAGGGAAAATGGAAGGCCTGGTTAATATTTGAGAATGCAACATACACAATCATTTTTTTCTGTTATAGACACATGCTGACCAGGTACACTATTATGCACGACTACTACTACTATGTGCAACATAATGATTTTTGTCATTTTGTATGGTTTGGCTGTTTACATGGACAACCAAACCACATGAAATGGTTTACTGGTTCACATCTGGGCACATATTCACAAAGCATTTTATTTTCCCACTAAGAGTACTCCTAAAAAGTTTTTAACTAAAAGATTTCTCATAAGTCCTATTCACAAAGAAGCTGAGACCAACTTTTAGTAAGGAAAAGCGAAAACTACTAAGCTAAGAGTTGCTCTGTTAACTCTGTTGCTATGGTTGGTGCCAATTTTCATGGACTAGCTCCCTTGCAGGAACCACAGCAATTGGTTGATGAAAGAGTGTCTGTGCCGGTGAAAACGCATGCGCAACATCCCACAGTAATAATAATAATTTAAAAAAACACTAAGAAATAATTAAATAGAAATTAATCATTCTTCAAAATGCATCTGTATGATAAGGTTTGTGTTGACCAGGGAGAATTTAATTTTTCTATAAAAACTTGATTATCTCAGTGGAAAAATAAAAAAAACCAACCTGTCCTAGACTGCCTAACTAAACATGACTGGCAGCCTATTAGCCACAGACAGTTGTAGCTGTACCTGTTATGTAGCTGTGGTCCCAGTGTGGGTTGAGGTGTGTGAAGGTTTCCCCTGTCCCCGACCAGGTGACATCCTTTCAAACAGCTGCCTCTATTCACTCTCCATTAAGATTCATGAATCGTGTGTAGATCCTGGACACTGTACAACAATGTCTAGAACTGTATAGGTAGCATCAAACACGACCTTTGTGTTGATGTTGTGATTTTGTTTTCCTGTTTACAAATACCTCCTTGTCTTGCGATGGTGCAATAATTTTTACTTGCGTTTCATCTCTCTCACCGATGGCACCGGGTAGACTGGCAATTGCCATGAAGCTGCTTTGCTTCTCTGTAGTTGTTGATCACATGATGTCGGGTCAGAGCGCATTTATTGTTTGGTGAATAGATCGACTTTTCTCTTTCACCAATTAGCACAGCGTTGCCAAACACTTAACTTCCGTACTGATCGGGTTGTTTCAGTTGGTAGGAGATGTTATTGCATCCCCCACAAACTCCACGATGATCATTATTCCCTTGTGATTGAGTCGTATCTTTTAAGTAATTCAGCATCGTGTAAGGTTTCCAGAACACTGCAACGTGGAATGACAGCAGCTCTTTTATGTTTCTTTGTGATTTGGTCTTAGTGAGTTAGGAGTCCTCTCAACTACTTCTAACTTCTCCCAGACTTAGGAGCTACTTTTAGCGCTAAGTGGCTCTGTGAATAGCTCTCAGTAAAATGAAAATAAGAGTCCTAAGTTAGGACTGACACGCCCATTATTCGATCAATCGGCAAGTTAGGAGCTACTTTTAGCCTTAAGATGTTTTGTGAATATGGGCCCTGATCAGCTACAGCAACTAGGCAGCCAAGAATGTCAAGCCCTGTGTAACGATACACCCACTATAAAAATCACTCACTTGGACCATTACCACATCTCTGTTGGAAATGGATACAATGTTTTTGACCCTTGAACCTGTGTTACTGCTGCTAGTGCTGGTTAAAGTGAGGATAAAGGTAATTTTTATGATGGGAGGGGTTGGCTGGATCACCCCAAAATCTCATTTTAAAGCAAGTACAAAATGTGACTGAAGGAAACCTGTACGCTGTGCAGGAATAGATAAGGGTGTGAAACAGCATTTTTGGACAGATTTGCTATAGAACAAACAAAACCATGCACCCAGACCCAACACAAAAACAAAGAGGTATTTTCTTCCCTTTAAACTGTTTTTGGTTCAATAAAAAGTTTCTTGTTGATATAAAATACTCAGAGGTGATTTCACAGTTACTCTTCTTTGTTTTTTCAATGCTTTATAAAAAAATTTTGTAGTAGGAGACTTGAACGTGACCCATGTATTTCACTTTCACCTTTTAATTGCATTACTATTGTACTGTAAATCCGCTTACTGTCATGTAGTTCAGTATACTGTGCATATGTTTATTTTAATTTTACATTTGACATACTTTTCTTACCTACAACAGGAAATAGACTGTATTTTCTTCATAGCTTTTAATGATTTTTATAATTTAACATAATGATCTAACCATGGAAATGAATGTTTTATTCCATTCAATATGCAAAACTGACTGAATAATGCAAGCCATGCTAATATTTTTATACTTCAAAATGCTTCTAAACAGCCAGCCTCCAATTACCGAAGTTCTGGCCTCAGCAGGGTCCAGTTTTTGCCAAAAGTTCATCCGAATCAATGACTCCAGTCAGCAACAGGGCATTTTATTCAAAGTTCATTCTCTGAATTTATTATGAAGTCTCTAAATGGAGAATCAGTACTCGGTCTCCCTCACTGATATTTGTGAGTTACTAGTGCAACCGAACATACTTTCACTTAGTTCATAGTCTATTTTTACAAGTTCTCCTTAAAAGAAATTGTTACACATTCTACTACATACACTTCCTTGCTTTTTTTTAGATGGATATTAATCTCATGTCTATGTGTCAAATACAGAGCTGAAGTAGGGACATGGTTGGCCTAGCTAAGCAGACCCGGTCCAAAGTTCAAAAACATACCTACCAATGCCTTCAGAGCTTAATGAAGATGTTCTAGCTGGTTCATTTAAACACACACACACACACACACACACACACACACACACACACACACACACACACACACACACACACACACACAAACAGAAATGTAAAAATGCTGCATAGAGGTGCTATGCAGATGGACAGGACATCACTCACCCAGCTGTTGTTTGGTAGGGAATAGTTCCAGCACTTAATTCCCCCTAAAGCAACACATTTCTGTTCCTACATTCTGTGTGCACAGATTAAACACACCCTATATAACATAGAAGTTTGTTAGCTTGAAGTGTCAGGGTGTATTTTTTAACTTTGCACTGAGCCAGGCTAGCTGTTTACTCCTGTTTGCAGTCATTATCCTAAACCAGGCTAATCCTGACCTCAGCTCTGTACTTAACACAAACAGGAAATCAATATTATCTTATATATATGCATATCTCACTCTGAATTTTCTTTAATGAAACCAGGTTAGCTAGCTCCAAACAGCTAACTCCCCTGTGGTAAATGTAACAACACCCCAGCCCATTCAGAACCTTTGTAAAATCTACCTTTCTTTACAATGCAAGTTTAATTTGCCAATGAAGACTTCTCAGCTGCATGGTTTCTGTTTTATGAGGGGAAAAATAATCATGACCTGACGTTCAGCCTGCAAAATGTCTAAAATCACAAGGATCCATACAGTGTTACAGCCTTGATTTAAGTTTAAGACTTAATTTATCTCCAAAAATAAATGCTGTTTTTAAATGGAATTATTCAAATCAAGGGCTACAATCTAAGATACTGCTTACATATACTTGA